ACCGTTTTTTGTAGTCCCAACAACCAATTCGGCCATCGCCACCACCCGAAATCATATGGGGGACTCGGGGACTGATGACGCAAAAATTTGTCTGATGCATGTATAGGACATTATCTTCCACCAAGACATGGGCCTTGAACGTACAACCTACCTCGGCTTGAAGAGGTATAAATGAAAGCCTTCCCTCCGAACTTCCAACTACAACACCGTCTTTTTGGGGAGAACATGCAACACATCTTAAATTAAACTTTAACAAGGGTGGTGGTTTAAGCTCATTTGTCTTCATCATTGTTTGAAGATTAAATATATGAACTTTTCGACCTGTCACACAAGCAGCCATAGGAAAACTTCGTTGCGCATCCAAACCAAACACAGGCTCACCCAGAATTTCCTCCTTTATAGGCATTGGTTGTCTCAAATCCCAAAAACGCAACCTTCCATCCCAACTACCAGTAACCAAAATTTCCGTGCCAGTATTAGAGCTGACATGAGCTATACAACTTACAGGAAGATCGTGAGATCCAACAATTATTTTCTGGTTGGTTGTTAGATTCCACATTGTTGCCGTCTTACTACATCCACCCCAAAAAACCCGACCATCAGCTGAAAATGACATATCCAAAATTGGTGCATCGCTCACAGCAAACGTCATTGGCTGGGATCGAATATTCATTCCATTTGGCTGATGAATCACCTGCCACACACGACAGGTTTTGTCCCACGATGCCGCGCCAAGTAGCAGATAAGGACATCCAGAAGGCGAAAAGCGTACGGTACTGACGCAGTCATTTGGAGGTCCATCTACTTCATGTACATCAGTAGGCGAACGAATATAATTAAATGTGTTCATAGTATTATTTCCCTCACTTAAATTAAATCATTTTTTTTTTTAAGGGCAATTAAAAAGCGAACATTAAATAGAAATTATGTCTCATTCTTAAACGTATAAATCCAAAAAATATAAACCGCTCAAAAAATTGCACATAAAAACATACATGTGTATATATAAATAACAATAATAAAACATAAGGACCACGACAAAAAGCATTAGTCAATATATTTCTTCTCGACTGTGACAATCCTCTTCTTGCCTCACTCCCTCCTAGTGACGATGAATGCAACAATAATAATAATAATAATAATAATATAATATAATATAATAATATAATATAATATAATATAATATAATATAATATAATATAATATTAATATAATATAATATAATATAATATAATATAATATAATATAATATAATATAATATAATATAATAATAAAATAATAATAATAATAATAATAATAATATAATAATAATAATAATATGGTAATAATAATATAGCAATAATATATTACTTTTAATAGGACAACTAGCTCAATAAAGAACGTGTCCCAGAAAGAACAAAAAAATCTTCTGTAGCGCAGCCGTTTTGTGCCCAAATGCTCCGCTCCTCCTCCAGTGACAAGCCGTCACATTCATGATTCCAAAAATCATCAGGTATATTTTCTGAAAAAAGAGCTTTCAACAGCTCTGAAACTTCTATTCGTGCATCCTCAAGATGTTGTGGGTCATCGGGTGAATATTTCAGGAGTTCTTCAGGACACCGCTCCGGAAATGCGTGCGTTCCCAAATCAAAAAAATTTTTGAACACGCAGTTAGGACGGTCATGGTTAATGGCGGCGTATGTACTAATTACAACAGGATCATCACCTCGAAGAAGCGCATTCCAGCAGTTGTTAAGGTAGCGAGACATCAACACAACGAGTTGATCTTTGTATGAATCAGGATCTACAATTCCCATACGAAAAAGA